TCATTTTTTTTTTTTTTCACTCAATTCCCCCCCCCCAAAAAAAAAAAAATTATCGGCAATTTTCCTGTCAAAGTAAAACAATGTATATTTTGTGAACAAATAAATGTCCTTTGAATTCATGGAAAGAGAGGAAAGAAAGAAAGAAAAAAAAAGATGCTGCCATATGTCTATCTCTCAATAATTTCCTCAGTGTTTTTATTCTCAGTATTTGGGATCTGTTTTCTGGAATCTTCAGATTTTAGCTTAGGAGGTTTTGAAATGTATTTCCAAAAATGCAAACACTAAAATAAACCTGGCCACGCTGATTGCATCTGAGGTGTGGTCCCTTTCAAGGGGAGCAGGATGTTGAATAGGATTCTGAGAGTTTGACTTCTGGGCCTTTGGCTGACCAGGCCCAGTTACACCAACACTCCCTGTTACCACTGTTACCTTTTCATGAGTTTATGTCTTGCTTCTGGAGCAGAGCCATCCTTTCCTTGAAGACAGGGGTCTTATCATCCACTTCTAGGCATCATATGGGGGCTCAAGGAGTTATTAAGTTTAGAATTTGGGTAGGGTAGGCATGTCAGAGTGGGGTCCCTTGGCTCAGTGTGCACCTCTTGACACCTGACTATGACTCCTTGGCTTTTCAGGCAGCAAAGGGAACATGGGTGTGAAAGGAGATGTGGGGGTCATGGGACCCCCTGGCGCCCCAGGGAGTAAAGGTGACTCTGGGAGACCAGGCCCACCAGGTAAGAGGCCACACAATCAGGTACATTGACCTGTAAGTATCCTGGTTTTCTGGCAGACTGAGCTAGGAGAAAAAGAAATCCCTAAAATTTCTTCTTCCTTTTAGGTGCCGCTGGACTTCATGGACTCAAAGGAGATCAAGGTAAGAACTATGGAGACCTGGGCACATTCCAACTACCACTGTCCCTGGCACTATCATGTCCAGAGCTTTGACTCTGCTATATTTTGTTAATTGTGGCATTAACCCAGAGATAATCTTTACCAGCATTTGGAGTTTCTTAAAAACCTTGTCTCTCCTATGAGGAACAGAGCAGCAAGCAGAAGCTTAGATATTTCTTTGTAGGCCTTTGCTCTACCTTGACATCCTGAAGTGGGGAGTTGGGCATTCCTTAATAGGTCCACAAATCCCAAATCTGTAGCAGTGAATCAAAAAGATTAATAAATTGCCAAGTTCCTTCCCACTGATTGAGCTAGTTTGTGGATTCTAAAGAGAGAGATTCAAAAAGTTACTGAGGGAACATAAGATGTTAGGAAGTATATGTCTCAGTGTTAAGAATGGGTTGAAGGGTAGCCAGGTCCTCTTCAACCACCTTAAGCCTTGCAGTTGCTGTTTAACTTTCAGGACAACCAGGAGTGCAAGGTCTTCCAGGTCCTCCAGGCATGGTGGGAGCTCCAGGTCCCAAGGGTGACTCTGGCAGTACTGGCTCCACTGGCCCAACAGGTGAGGTGCTTTGTCCTGAGGTTGTGGGGAGAGATGCCTGAAGATCCGCCTAGCCACCTTTATGCCTTCTATGATGTCTGTTCTCCAGGACCACCAGGGAAACCCGGAAGTCCAGGAGCTGCAGGTCTGAAAGGAAGCAAGGGAGATACAGGTACAGAAGATGTGGTGGGGTGGGTCAGATTACTGGTGCCCAGGATAAATATGGAAGAGGGCTTCTTCCCAATAGGCCCCTAGAAGGAGGCAGAGGGTCTGATGTTTGAGGTTTACTGCTGCTTCAAAAATAGATTAAGGAGGATAGGGGCCTCCTGAGCCCAGGGTTTTGGGGGCTATTCTCCTGCTTGGGGCTCCCGACAGAGAAAGCCAAAACCAAATTTTTAGCATTATGGAGAACAGGGCACCTGCCTTTATTATCTCCTTGGCCCCCAGCTGTGTGTATAGTTTCTCTCTCTCCTGTTGACCTTCAGTAGGACACCAAGGTCAGGACTCTGAATTCAGGCAGGTGGATCAGAAATCCATCTTGCTTATTCTCCCAGAGTGCTTGGGCTGGGAGGACTGATTCACACTAACTAAATTTACAGAGACTAACTCATAAACCACTGTGCCAACTTTTCCCACTCAGCAAGTATCTCTTGGGCAGCTATGATGTGCTCAGCTGATGGGCCCCAGAGAATGCAGAAGACCCAGTTCCTGCACTCAGATGGACAGATTGGTGCAGGAGACAGACTGACAGACAGTCTCAGACTGTGTCAGGCATGCTGTAATGTGGGCATGAAGGACTTCCTATGCCACTCAGGTCAGGAGGGCTTTTGGTGAAGACAGAATTGTGAGAAAAGTTGTCTGTTGAACAGTCTACTCAGTCCTCCTTCAATGCAGAAGCGTGAAGTCACAGCTATGACAGACAACTGGATCTCCTCACTCCAGGGCAGTGCTACACTCACACCATGGCAGGTCCTTCCCAGTTCTAACTGATGAAATGATAGACTGATTGATTCATTCATCCTTTAAGCAAAGTTACTTAATTCCTAGATGATTCAGATACAGAGAATTGCCAGATGTGTCCTGGTCTGGTGGACATAGGGGAAAGGCAGACCAGTGCAGGGATAGTGTGAAACCTTGACCTGAGCTTTGGCATATGAATGGAGATTGGCCAGATAGTGGTTGTAGGGAAAATATATAGAGAGAGAGAAAAAAAAAAGCAGATGAACTCATGGATGGGTGAGGGAGACTCTGTATAGGTTGGTCCCTAGAGTTTTGGTGTGGGGGAAAGTCAAGATCTATGCTAGAGAATTGGGCAGGGTTATTTCCTGGTGGGCCTTAGACTCTGGTCCTGTGAGATTTGGGGTTTTCCTAAAGGTTGTCAGAAGCCATGGGTTGTATAGCCTCTCCTACACCTTCTGTTTGTCCTTTCAATCTATCTAGTCTCAGTGTGTGTGTGTGTGTGTGTGTGTGTTGGTGTGGGGAGGGGTTCTGCTACCTAGTCCCATGTAGATGACAGTAGGAAGGCACCATCAGGATCTTGCCTTGAAGGCTCATCTTGGTGGGATTGTCAGTGGCCTTGACTTGTGGGCTTCTTCATTCTGGACTTACACTTCTACTTTCTCTTGTCCAAGACCTTAAGTACTGTCTAATTTTGGAGCCCGAAGCTCCCTTGCCCCAGTTTTTCTGCTTGGCTTCACAGGGTTGACTAATAAGAATATTGGTGATGAAACAGGATTTTACCCACAAGGAGCACTGTGCCTACTCCCCAGGCCCCTAGCCTACGTCTCCCAGTGTCTGAAGGTAGAGAATTATGCTCTGCACTCTACATCCTGAGTTTGCATAATAAGAGCAGCTCCCAGTCATGAGCATTTTCATGACAACCCAGCAGGATAAGCACTCTTGCTAGTGCTATAGCCCAAAGACAAATAACCAGTGAGAGATACAGCCATGGTTCAAATTCAGGCCTAGTTGTGATCCAAAACATAGGGCTTTAACCACTATGTTCTATCACGGGGTCTTCCTCCCCAGCCAATCTGAATGTGCCCCCATCTCATCCCTACCAGAGTACTCTAATGTGAGACACTTCTTCCCTCCATTCCACTTCAGAAAGGGTTAGAGCAGAAGTAGTAGTAGCTTCTTCCACTTTTGGAAGAACTACAAAGCCCTCAGGTCTTGTTATGGTCTCTTAGTTATATACCAAGACATTTTACCCATTCTAACCCAGAGATCTTTGCCTCATAGTCTGGAGATCACTTTTAATCTATTAAAAATGATTCCCTCTATATCTGTTGAGCACCTTTGTGGGTTCTCTGCTGATCAAGGTGCTTATTTGCACTAGGCCTCGTGAGTACCAACCAGGCAAATTCTAGAGGATATGCCTTAATTCTGGCTGCCCAAGTAAACATAAAGGCACTGCTGTTGAGTCCGATCTGACACATAGTAACCCTCCTTGGGTTTGCTAGGCAATATCACTACAGAAGTAGATTGCCCAACCTTCCTTCTGAGGAGTGGCTGGTGGGTTTGAACCTCCAGCCTTCTGGTTAGCAGTCAAATGCCTTAGTTCCTACACTACCGGAGCTCCTAAGTAAACACAGTGAATTGCATTTTCAATTTGGGATATGTGATCATTATGTAAAATCATGTGGGTTGCCAACCTAAGTCCAAATGCTTTTCTTGATCAAGGAGCTGAAGGTCACTCAGACACTTCAAATGACCATAATCAGGTAAATCTTACCTGGGTTTCTATAGAATTCTGAATCATAGGGTAATGAACTTCTGGGGAGGATGGATTTGACAATTTCTGAGCTGGCAGAAGGGTTGGTGGTGGTGGTGGATAAAAGCCAGGTTTTCTCACAATGGGTCATGATATATACGCATCAATTTCAGGGCATTGGTATTCCCCAAACTAAAGGTACTATGGTGTTTGTCCAGTTTTGATTATATCAAGCCAGGTTTTCAAACTGATGTATTTCCTATTTTGTAAATAAAATCATTAATCACTCAAAAGTTTATTCTAACTACTTTGAATGAAAACAGAATGACAGTGGATTGGCTTGACATAGATAACAGCTGGATCTCATTATTGTGAAATAATTATGAAAGAAATCACATTGAGGTTCTTGCTATGCCCAGCCACTGTGCTTGAACTTGACTCCCATGACCTTAGTTCATCTACCAAAGCACCTGCAAAGTGAGTTTCATCAACCCTGCTTTACATCTGAGGAAGCAAAGGCCCAGAAAACCAAAACCAAACTCATTGCCGTGGAGTTCATTCCGACTTATAGGTTTCCAAGGAGGTGTCTGTATGGAAGTAGATTGCCCAGTCTTCCTTCTGAGGAGTGGCTTGTGGATTTGAACCACCAGCCTTCTGATTATCAATCAAATGCTTTAGGCACTATGCCACCAGAGCTCCCACAAAAGGCCCAGAGAGTAAACCTTTTTCTCAAAGTTTCATGATTAGCATACACTGGATCTGGGATTTGGTCCCAAAACCTGATTCCAAAATCTGTACTTTTCCAGACTTTGTTGTATAGAACAACATGTTGTTGTTGTTGTTATTTGCCATCGAGTCAGACCCAACTCATAGCGACCCCTCGTTGGAAGTAGATTGCCCAATCTTCCTTCTGAGGAGTGGCTGGTGGGTTTGAACCGCCAGCCTTCTGGTTAGCAGTCAAGTGCCTTAGGCGCTATACTACCAGAGCTCCTATAGAACAACATAGAATGTATGATATAAGAGAAGTTGGAATGGCCCTCCCTCCTGTACCTTGGGAGGTGCTTCATAATTGACAGATAAATCCTGGCCCAGTCACCAAAACTTCCTAACTTGTGAACACTCCAACTCATCCAGGTAGACTATGTCACCATGTCTGCAGCTCTTGAGAGAGGATCCATCTCAGATTAATGGTGATGAGTAGGGAATACCTTCTAGTCTACTGTTGTGCGTCATCAAGTTAATTCTGATCATAGTGTCCTGATAGGACAGAATAGAACTTCCCCAAAGGATTTCCTTGGTGTCTTATAGGATCAGACTGCCACATCTTTTTCCTGCAGACAGGCCTGTGAATTGGAACCTCTGACCTTTAAAGTCAGTGTGTAAACAAAAGTTTTTCTAACGGTAATTTCCTTCATCTGTAAGAAATAGGATTTTGTCAAACTCATAAAAACTTAGTAGTTTTCCTAACCTTTTCTCTTTCAAGGAATTGCAAAAGAATAATCAATTTTATTTTAAATCCCTTAGCCACTTTGAAAAAAGTAAAATTTGTTAGGAAATGAGGAAGGGCTTTACTTTGAACTATGGTTAAGGCATTTCTTTTCCTACTGTTTTCACCTGGTGAAACAATACAGATGAAGCCAAACAGTTTAAGCATCAAAATGCCACTCTTATTGGAAATTCTGCATCTAAATGGCCATTTTTTATCTAAAATGTAACAAAAGTCTGAATTTTCTATGTCTTTTTATCTCTTCTTGTGTCAAAGCCAAAGTGCAAATAACTTAAAATCTTTTTTCATCTGCATTTTACGATGTTTTTACTTTAAAGATAATCCATAAAGTAGTTGTTTTAGTTATCTAGTGTTACTATAACAGAAATACCCCAAATGGGGGGTTTTGACAAACAGAAATTTCTTTTTTCACAGTTTAGGACGTTAAAGTCCAACTTCAGGTTGCTGGCTCTAGGGAAAGACTTTCTTTCTCTGTTGGCTCCGGTGAAAGGTCTTTGTTCTGAGCTTATGCTCTTGGGCCATCTTCTTGTGGCTTGACATCTCTCTTCCCCCCTCTCTGCTTTTTTATATCTCAAAAGAGATTGACTCAAGATAGACCTTACACTAATTCTGCCTCATTAACATAACAAAGACAGTCCATTTCCAAATGGAATTATAACCGCAGGCATAGAGATTAGGATTTAAAATATATATTTTGGGGGGAGGGGCATAATTAAATTCGTGATAGTAGTTAACCCCTAAAACATGAGTATAATTTGTAAATTCAACTCCCCATAACTAAGTACTGCAATAGACCAAGAATTATTCAATTCTAGTGTGTCATGTGGGAGCTCTGGTGGTGTAGTGCCTAAGGCATTTGACTGCTAACCAGAAGGCTGGTGGTTCAAACCCACCAGCCACTCCTCAGAGGGAAGGTTGAGCAATCTACTTCCATGGAGATACCACCTTGGAA